AAGCAATTGCCTTGCTCGTTGAGGATGGACCAGATAAATGATTTCGCGACAGCCCCTGCCTTGCACTTCAATGTGATGCGGGCCGGCTGGGCGCCTTCGAACGTCAACAGATAGGGTGGGAGCGAGATCCGCTTCAGTAAGGTCAGCGCCCCAATGTGGAATAAATGGAGGGAGGCGCGTAAAAACACGCATTGAAAGCGATGCATAAATGGTTATTTAATATGAATTATGTGCGCCTTTACCTACAGCCCCCCCCCCCCTTTTTGTCCGCCTCGAAGCTAGCTATTTTCGGATCCCCGTCTCCCTATCAAGCTTAGGATAGCGCGCCCCCGGCCTCCGGAATGTCCGTGGGAGAGGCCCGAACTCATGGAGCGGGTACAGCTTGAAGGCGACGAGGCCTTTGACCAGGGCCATGGGCACGGGACCGTAGGTGCGGGAGTCGGTGGAGTTGAAGGGGTTGTCGCCCTCGAGCCAGAGCATCCCCGGCGGGACTTGCAAGACCTGTTCTTGCTGGTACCAATACTGTGGCTGTATCAGGATACGGTCGCCAGGGAGGCCGAGGACGCGCTTGCAGACCGTGTTCGACGGGTTCGAGGGCGAGCGGGCGATGACGATGTCGCCTTTTTGGAGGGGTCTTCCGAGCTTCACGTGCAGGCAGTCGACCACGACGATGTCCCCCGCCTCATTGAAGGTGGGGAGCATGGACGGCCCAGCCAGGGCTGTCACGTCGGCCACATACTCGTGCAAGCAGTAGAGCGTGCAGCTGAACTTGACGAGGTCCACGACGTTGTAGCGCGTCTCGTCCAATAGCTCAGCTGAGCTTCGCATATATCGAGCCCGGGCACGGCTAAAGAAGGACCGAAAAGCGCCTCGCCAGGCCATGTCGCCGTAAAACTAGATAGCACGGCCAGGTTTCAGCTAGCTTGGGCGTTCAGAGGCGCGGGAGACGTAGAGATTGGTGAGGGGCCGCGGGGGGAAGCAGGAGGGAGGTTGACAGAGCGAAGAGATAGTGCATGCGCTTGCTACCAAGGGAAAAGTGCTTCGCCTGCAATAGAAAGCGGAAGTCAGATTTGGCTGACATCGAGCTACATGCCATTGCAGTCGAGAAAGTGCGTTCTACATCGGTTTGCAGTGTCGGTGAGACGCCGCCTTCGCTAGCGTCGAGTGGAGTGCTTCGGCCCCGACCTGCCCGCGTCTCTGGGTTTAGCATCAGCTTCACGTTCATTTGTTTGAAATCAGGATATTCATCGCGTCGCTCACTCAAACAGGAGACATGCCATCGACAATCCGAAGTACGTCGCCACCACGGAGCAATGAAAACAGGAATGGAACCAGTTTATGGCGTCTGGTACGTGACACGTAACTATAACGGTCAGGGGGGCACGGCCAGGGGAAGGACAATGTACATTGCGCATCCGCAGCGTCCGGTGCGATAACATGCAGACGCACCGAATTGTGCCCGAAATGAGACGTCCGCTGAAATGCCGCTCATCCGCAGACGTGCAGAGTCGTCGGGACGGTGAAAAGCAGAGCTGCATGTGCTGGATTCCGAAATGCTTAGACGCCGCCACAATGCGTCCTTTTATTCGTTGTGGGGATGCTTCGATGCAAGTCAACTTTATCTAGAGTACACAAAATCATACAGAGGCATTGTTTGACACGGGATGGGTAGTGAAAGCTTACTTCGTGCTTGGGACCATATAGCGACAACGATGCCCTCTAGCACCCATGTCCTCACTCTTGGCATGATTATACCTACGAACGCCCGAATGCAACCTGATTGCCTCCATTTAAACACAGAGTGGCGTGCTTCCAGCCGGTTCCCAACATTCGCCCTCGGACTACGCACGCCTGGAGACAGGGCATGGCTGTGGCGCGGACCGAAACCACCGGGTGCTCGAGGCGCGGGGCGGGGCGGACGAGGAGGAAGACGAGGTAGAGATCCTCTTTGCCTCGCCAGCGACCCCCACGGACGACCAGGGTCGAGCCTCCGCGTTCCTGGTCTCTTCCTCTTCCCCCTCCAGCTCGCCCCCCGCCCCCCACGCCACGGCCTTGCCCTCCGTGAGAAACCTCCTACGGCCCCTGGGCGCCATCTTCTCCCTCTCCTCGTCCTCTGCCTCCGGATGTAGGCATGGAGGCGCCAGGGGCGCGGGAGGAAGTCTCCATCTTCCCCCTTCCCGGGGCTCTCCCCCGAGCCGATTTCTGCGGCGGATGCGGACGTCATCCAGCCACGAGCACGCCGAAGGGCAGGGACGCACCTCCTCCTCCTCCTCCTCCTTCTCCTCCTCCTCCTCCTCGCCGCAGCCCCCCACCGCCAGCGGGGCCTTCGTCTCTCCGCGTTTCCACAGCCACGCCCCGCCCTGGGTGCAGGTCACCTACTTCCTCCTCCTCGGCTGCCTCTTCCTCGCCGCCCTGGTCGACAGCTTCACGAGCCGGCACCTCTACCATCTGCTCGAGCATCTCTTCGCCTGGGTGGAGGAGCATCAGATCCTGGGCCCCCTGGTCTTCTGGTCGGCTGTCGTCGTCTTCTCGGTCGTGTGCGTGCCGGAGAGCGCGCTCACCGTGGGCGGCGGCTACATCTTCGCCAAGGCCCATGGGGTCGGCTGGGGCATCCTCCTCTGCACCTTCCTCATGATGGCGGGGGGCGTGGTCGGCTCCGTCATAGCCTTTTTGGTCGCGCGCTACCTCGCATTCGACACGGTGCAGCGCTGGGCTCGCCGGCACCGACTCCTCCGGGCACTGGACCTCTCTCTGGTGGAAAATGGCGCGAAAATGGTCTTCTTGCTCCGCCTCTCCCCCTTCCTCCCTGCGCCACCGCTCTCCTATTTGTTGGGCACCACCAGCGTCAAGCTCTCGGATTTCGTGCTGGGCAGCACAGGCATGCTTCCCTGGATCGTGACTTGTTCGTATCTCGGGAGCGCCTTGAGGGGCGTGGCGGACGTGGCCGGGAAGGGGAGGAGGGGCCAAAGCAAGTGGGCGTACGCCCTGTACGCGCTGGGGGCGGTGGGGACGATGGGGGTGGTGGCGGCCATCGGCATCTACACGCGGAGGGCGATGGAGGAGATTTTGCGGGAGGAGCCCAGCGAGGGGGAGGAGAGGAAGGAAGCTGAGGACCGGGGGAGGAGGGAGGACGGAGTGCACACTGAGATGAATGCGGTGTTGCGGGTGGAAAACAGTGGGGAAGAAGAACAAGGGATGGAAGGGCGGGAGGGGGTTGGGGGGCGGCAGACGGA